CCATGAATGGGAGAGACACAAATCTGGAAATACAAATGTGTGAATTTGCTGTAATACAAAGAAATGACTCTGGGAACAATGAGGAGAGAAGTCAATTTTGTTTGAGGGATTAGGAATGACTTGAAAAAAAAAAGTTTAAATAAGTGTGAAAGGGCATTCCAAGTAGACAAAATAGCATAAGGAAAGGAACTGAATATGATATCTTTAGGAGTGGTAAGTAATGCTCTGAGGATTAACCAAAGGGTACTTGAGAATATGGCAAATAATAAAGCTGGAAAGGGTCTTCCAACCTGCGCAGCTCATCTTTTGGCACTATATCAGACTGTGTTTCACTGCTGTTCATAAGGTTTTCAGTGGCCAATTTTTTCAGAAGTGGATGGCTCCATCTTCCTAGTCTGTCTTATTCTGGAAGCGCCACTGGAACCTGTCGACCATGAGTGACCCTGCTGGTGTTTGAAATACCAGTGGTACAGCTTCCAGCCTACAGCAACATGCAAGCTGCTACATAAGATAAACTGAAACATGAGAGTGGGAGAGAAAAGGTAGGCTAGGGCGCTTTTCTTGTGAAGAGCCTTAAATGTTGAGCCAAGAGTTAGAATTTAATTTGTCTGATAGTTAGTTGGCAGAGGGTTCAACGCTAATTAGATTTTTGTCTAAGAAAATAAATAAATAAATGTGGCAGTAGATAACCCCAGTGGTGTACTGGTTAAGACATTTGGCTGCTAACCAAGAGGTTGGTGGTTCAAACCCATCAGCTGCTTCACGGAAGAAAGATGAGACAGCCTGCTTCTGTAGAGAGTTACAGCCTTGGAAACCCACTGGGGGTCATTATGAGTTGGAATTGACTCAATGGCAGTGAGTTTGGTTTTGGTTTGGAGGCAGTAGATAAAGAGGCTGAACAGAAGGATGACAACAGGAAGACAAGATTATGGGGGCCAGAGAGATGTGATTTTTGTATTTAACTTACTGGCTAATACTGAAATTCAATTGAAAAACATAATTTAAAAACAACTTCATTAATAAAGAATTTTCAGGAAGTGGTACTTAGCAAAAATTAGTGCTTTCTGTGTGTTTGACTCTGGAGATACAAAAGGGACTATGTATATTCATAGAATTCAGAGTCTAATATGGGCAATGCAGATACTGTGAAAGTATCTTGAACATGACACAATCAAGCAGTACTTAGAGAATGACTTAAATTCTTTATGGAATTACAGAGTCAAGTTTCTTCATGTAACTTTAAATAAACCAAAAACCCACTGCCATCGAGTTGATTCCAACTCACAGCAACTCTATAGAATAAAGTAGAACTGCCCGTAGGGCTCTCAAGGCTGTGAATCTTTCTGGAAGCAGATGGCCTCATTTTTCTTCCATGGAGTGGCTGATGGGTTCAAACCACCAATCTTTTGGTCAACAGCCAAATGTTTTGACCACTGTATCACCAGAGCTAGTTAGAATAAAAATGTGTAAGAGCCATACATATCATGTAAGCTAAATGTGCACTGGAACACTCAAGACTCTTATATATATTTTACTGACCCTTAAGACAAACTTCTCTTAAGATTAATTGCCTTAATATCAACTAGGATTTTTCCTTTTCCATCATCCAAATCTTTTTTGAGAGTTTGACTAAAAGGGCAGCTTTATATATCCTTGAACAAATATTTGTAGAATTTTCACTATTGTATTGTTACGTGCCGTCAAGTTGGACCCAACTCATAGAGACCCCTCCTTGGGTTTCCGAGGCGGTATCACTACAGAAGTAGATTGCCCAACCTTCCTTCCAAGGAGTGGCTGGTGGATTTGAACCGCCAGCCTTCTGGTTAGCAGTCAAGTGCCTCAGGCACTGCGCTACCAGAGCGCCTATTGTATTAGAAGCTGTAAAAACAGAGAAATTACCAGACTCATTTTCACTCTACTGACATGTGATAAATACTAATTCTTCTTTGTGAGTGAAATATCTAAATCTCATGAAACAGTATCTTGACTATGGAATTTAACACTAGAAGACTAAGGTGTGCCTAATCCAAGCCACGGTAATTTCAATCACTTCATGTGTATGTGAAAGCTGGACAATGAATAAGGAAGACTGAAGAAATGATGCTTTTGGATTGTGTTGGCGAAGAATACTGAAAATACAATGGACTGCCAGAATAATGAACAAATCTGTCCTGGAAGAAGTGCACCTGGAATGTCCCTTGGAAGCAAGAATGGCCAGACTTCATCTCACTACTTGGTTCATATTATCAGAAGGGACCAGTTCCTGGAGAAGAATATGCTTGGTAAAGTGAAGGGTCCACAAAATAGGGGAAATCCCTTAAGGAGATGGATTGACATAGCAGCTGCAATGATGGGCTCAAGCATAGCAAGGATTGTGAAGATGGCACAGACCAGGCAGTGTTTTCATTCTGTTGTACATAGGGTCTCTATAAGTCAGAATTGACTTGACAGCATCTTGTTGTTGTTGTTGTTAAGTGCCGTCAAGTCGTTTCCGACTCATAGCGTCTAGCAACAACATATACAAAAAGTTGTCATAATGAAACTCTAGCATTGTCAGTGAAGGCAAACATGAGTACATGGGGGACTGATGGGTGGACAGGGTGAACTATTAGGTATGTCTATGAATAAGGGAGTGTACCCAAGACCATGTACAGGGTTGGCAGACAATGGTCCTAGAAGTGTATTTGTATCATCTGAATTCCCAGGTGTATAGCAGAGCTGACAAGGGAAAAGGTTGTAGTCACTTCTTGGTCACAACCAGCTACCCAGAGGGACCAGGTTGCACCTGTGGGCTCGGGACCATAGTCACAGGGGACATCAAGCTCAACTGGCATAACACAAAACATTGTTCCACCTCCTACTTGGCAAGTAGCGACTGGGATCTTAAAAACTTGCAAGCAGCCATCTAAATGCAATGCTAGGTCTCTCCTCATCCAGAGCAAAGAAGAAGGAAGAAAACCAAAGATTCATGGAAACAATTAGTCCTACTGACTGGTACACCATGCAATCAGCAGCCTATACGACTATGAGACCAGAAGAGCTAGATGGAGCCCGACTACCACTGTCAATCACTGTGAGGGGGATCTATGGAGGAGATCCTGGATAGAGGGGGAGAACAATGTGGAACAAAACTCAAAATCATTTGGGAAAGAAGAAAAAAAAGGGGATCAGGTTTGCTGGTCTGATAGAGCCCGGTGGAACCACTGAGACTATGGCCCCTAGCTGCCCTTCAGATCTGGAATTGAACTACACCTGTCGCTTCTAGCCAAACAAAAGTCAGGCATATGAGTTGAACATTTACCTGCGGTATATACACTCCTTGGAGAAACAATCATGGGAGCAAGAAGAGCTGTTTATGCACCGGGAGACAGCTCAGGGGTTAGGAGTGCATGGAGGGATGGACACAGGAAAGAGGTAACTATTGGGAGGAAGTGGGAGGGGAGCTGTTGCATTGTGGTAAATTGTAGTCAATGTCATGAGACAAAGTATATGTGAACTGCTGTATGGAAAGTGAATTTGCTCTGTAAACTTTCACCCAAATCACACACACACACACACACAAAGAAACTCTAAAAGAGTACATAGTACATAGTACAAGAGTAAATAAGTACATAGTTTTATATATTCTAGTATTCACATTTTAAAAAATAATAGAAACAAATTATTTTTTATAATGTATTTTATTTAACCCAATATAAAATGTCAATATGTAATCAATACAAATTTTTTTCTTTTTGGTACTGTTCTTTAAAATCCAGCTTATTTCTACTTGGACACTAAATTTTCTTCGGCAGTACTGGATCTATGTCTAGATTTCATAAAATCTGTAGTCCAAAACATATTCACATAGCTATGTTGTTTCAAATGAACTTGAAAGTTTTTTAATAACTGAATTGAATACCAGTTTTAAAATTACAATTAAAGAATTAAAAATTCACTTCCTCAGTCACTCTAGCCACACTGCAGGAGCTCAACAACTACATGTGGCTAGTGGCTAGTGGCTGCTGTACTGAACAATGCAGCTCTAAAATACTCTTCCCCTCAGCGTTGGTTTTGACATTCATTAAAAAAAAAAACAAACCTCATGTATATAGATTTTGGTTTTATTTCTCATTTAGAATATAATTAACATCCCCTAGGGAGCTCTGGCAGCGTAGTGCCTAAGGCACTTGACTGCTAAGCAGAAGGCTAGTGGTTCAAACCCACCAGTCACCCCTGGGAAGGAAGGTTAGACAATCTCCTTCCATAGTGATACCGCCTCGGAAACCCAAGGAGGGGATCCGACTCCACGGCACATAACAACATTTCCTTCTTGATTTGGCCACAGTTCCTTTATTCTATCCAATCTTCCTTTCTTCCCCTTGACATGCCTGCATGTTTGGTTCACCTGGGGTCTTTATTTAGTTTGTAGTAATTACCAGTTCAGTACAGTGTGACTAACTCAGGGGTATAGCCCTCTCTTGCACCTTTTATTTCTGTTTTATTACTCAAACCCTGCTTCCCTCTTTTTTTTTTTTTTAATTGCGTGCACCCCTTCATAACTTTGTAAGCACTTCATGTTTTTTCATATTATCTAGTTTAAACTTGCAACTATATGAAGTAAATAGGAAAGCTGGTATTAATCCTATTTTATAAATAGGAGCTATCCACCAGGAGGTTTGTATATTTGTCGAGGTCACAATAGGTAGTGATGATTAGAAATCATACTACTTGACTTGTTTTAGGGCCTTTTCCACTACACTACGGCACATAACCTTCAGAGAAGGCTTCCAGAGAATGTCAGACCCCATCCCTTGCTAGTCCCGTTCAATTCTGCAGCATATTATAGGCAGCCTTAAACAGTTGTTACGATTTAAAAAAAAAAAAAAAAAAATCATTTCATATCTTAGCTTAAATTACCTGAAATAAATTCCTAGGAAACTGGCTTATTGCCCTAAAGTTCATTTTTTTTTTTTTTTTAAAAAAGGAGAGATACATATATATATATATATGAGTGTAATTTGAAAAACTAATTTTAAGAATGGGATCATTGAATTAATTTAAATTACTGTCTTGCAATGAGTTGGCCAGGAGGACCTCATCTCTTCGTTCATATATATGTAGACCCATGAGATGAATGGAAAAAGAGAGATTACAATGGCAATAGCCAATTGAATTCTTCCACCAACTGGATTCCTATAAAGATATACAAAAAAATTATTATTAGGAACTACTAATAAAAATGATGGATTGCTTTGGAAACAAGTATAAAAATCAAATTGATAAAACAAATAATTACACTTTAGTATGCTTTGTTTCTTAATTTTTAATTGACATATAATTCAATGTTTATTAACAAAAGTTAATAAACATCCAACTTCAGTGACTTATCACAACAGATTTCCATGTAATCACAATGTAGGTCGAGAAACAAAATATCCTCAGCACTCCAAAAGTCCTTGTACATCTATCTGCTCAGTCTACACTCTTTCTTTTCCCCAAAGATAACCATTCTGACTTATAACACTATTACTTTAGTTTTGTCTTTATATAAATGGAATCATATAATATCTATTCTTTTGGGTCTACCTTCTTTTGCCTAAACTTATGTTTGTGAGATTCATCCCTATTGTGTAGCTAGCTGTAATTTGTTTATTTTCATTGCTATATAGTATACCATTGTATGATGATACCAGAGTTCATCTACTCTATATTGATGGACATTTGGGTTATTTCCATAATGCTGCTATGAACAATCTTTTATATGTCTTTTGGTGCATAAATATATGCACATTTCTATCAGTATTTATGTAGAACTGGAACTGCTGTATCAAAGGACGTGCATGTTCAAGTTTAGGAAGTAATGACAATTTTACAAAAGGTTTTACCAGTTTACATTCCTACCAGCACATGAAAGTTCCCATTGCTTCACATCCTTATCATTGCTTGATATTGTATTGTTGTTTGTTGTTTTTTAATTTTAGACTTTCTGGTTGATATATAGAGAGGTATCACATTGTGATTTTAACTTGCATTTCCCTGATGACTAATGTTTAGCTTTCTTTCATATCACTCTTGGCTGTTTGAATTTCTTCTTTTGTCAAGTGCCTACTCAAATCTCTTTCCCATTTTTCTATTGGGCTGTCCTTATTTTTCTTATTGATTTATAGGAATACTTTACATATTCTTAATACCAATCCTGTGTCATTTATATGTGTTGCAAATATCTTTCCCACTCAATTAATGATGTCTTTTCCCACTCACTCAGTGAAGTCTTTTGACAAGTACAAGTCACTGATAAAGAAGACAGTGTTGACATTGATCTTTTCCTAATGTCTTCTGTGTCCTATTTCAGAAAAATTTCCCTTTCCAATGTCTTAAAAATACTTAAGTTACCCTCTAGAAATTTTATTATTTTTTGCCTTTCACATCAGATCTATAATTCACCTGTAACTGAATTTTATAAAGTCATGAAGGTAAGAGTTTCACTTTTTCCATGTGGATATTCAATTGGCCTAGCACCATTTATTGAAAAGACTGCCTTTCTTTGTTACCCTGAAGTGCCACCTTTGTCATTATTCAAAGGTCTACATATGTATAGATCTATTTCTATACTCTTCTCTGTTGCATTAATTGTCTTTTGTAGTATAGGACTATCCTGTTAGTAGTCTATTTCTAGACTCGTCTCTGTTTCATTAATTATTCTATTAGTATAGGTGTAAAAATGACACAGAGACAGTGTCTGACCTCCTCTAACTTCATAAGGCAGGAGGAAGATCAAGCTCAACAGCCCAAGGTTGATTCCTATGAGGCAGAGGTCAGATATGCCTCAACCCTCTAATCTTTTTTTTTTTTTTTTCCCCCACCAATTCTGACCCCAACTGTCCCTCTCACAGCACTCTCTACTTCTCTGTTGGGTTTGATAATTCATTGTAATGGCCACAGAACTCACAGACATGACTATGAAGTTTATTAGGGAAGTAATGGGTAATAATTCAGGATTAGGAATGTTCAGGATACAGTTCTTCAGTTAGGAGAGCCTCCCCTCAGCCATGCCCAAAGGCAGGTCTCTCTCTGGCCCTTCACCCCTTGGTTTCTGCCCTGCTTGGTCAAGTGTTACAAAGCTCTTTTAACTCTGTTGAAAATGCCTACAGGAACCCCACTCTGGCAATAAGCCTCCTGCCCAAAGGCACTCAGCTTTCTCACTTGTGCTGTGGGCCAGGAAGCCCACTGCTCTGTCTTGTGCCAGGTCTCTTGGTTCTGCTGCCTCTGCTGCCACTGTTTTTTTCTGTTTGCTGCTTCTTGCCATGTCTGGTGTCACAGCTCTGTCTCCTGGATCAACAAGGTTCAGCACAAGGATCTTGGGTCCTAAAGATGTGCTCCAATTTTGGTTCTTCTCTCTTGTTGCTGTTGTTGTTGTTAGGTTCCATCAAATTGGTTCTGACTCATAGTGACCCTATGTACAACAGAATAAAATACTGCCCAGTCCTGTGCCAGCCTCACAGTGCTTTCTATACCTGACCCCATTGGTGCAGCCATCGTGTCAATGCACCTTGTTGAGGGCCTTCCCCTTTTTCGTTGACTCTCCACTTTAGCAAGCACGATATCCTTCTCCAGGGAATGGTCCCTTCTGACAACATGACCAAAGTAAGTGATTTCCCCTTCTGCTTCTAGGATGGCTCATATAAAGCCCAGTGAGATGGCAAAACTGACCAATCCCCACATTAGGGTTCCATACACATTTCCATAGGTTCACTCCCACAATGGTCCCATGAATCATATTTACATTATTAGCAAGCTATCCAATCCCCCCGTGGGCCACAAGCACCTCACATTTGCATAGTCCTTCCCAGTCTTTTAGTGGGAGTTACAAAGACTATGGCTAGAAGAGCCATATCAAGCAATTCAATGTACCTCAATAGGTTTATCCTAAGTTCTTTCATAATGTTTTATAGTTTTATGTGTAGAGATTTTACCCAGAGACTTATTTCTAGGTAGTTGATATTTTCTGATGCGATTTGATGGTATGTAACAACAACAACATTATAAATGGTATCTTTTTGTTATTATCATATTGTAACTCTTACTTGCTGACAGAAATGTAGTTGATTTTTGTATACTGACCAAATATCTAGAAATCATACTAAATTCACTTATTAATTCTAATAATTTATTTTTAGATTTTCTATATATGCCATGGGAGCTCTGGTGGCATAGTACCTAAGGCATTTGACTGCCTTAGGCAGAAGGCAACCAGTTAAAACCCACCAGCCATTCCATGGAAGGAAGATTGGGCAATCTACTTCTGTAGTGACACTGCCTCAGAAACCCAAGAAGGGGTTGCTATGAGTCAGATCCGACTCGACGGCAGAGAGTTTATATATATATATA